CAGCCACTCTGCCTTCTATGACGGCAATAAAAAATTTGACAAGCTAAATCCTAGAATATTCCTTTTAAATTTGATCAAATTAAGGCAACTGTATAAATATATTTGATTTCATTGGTTGTAAGGAGACTGGGTAATGTAAGTAACTGAAAAGCTTCTATTTTAATCACATCAGGCACGAGGAACACAGTATGAGTGGGCGATTGTGGTAATAAAAACAGGATTAGTTTGGAAATGTGTTTATGCCGGCTTCTTGAAGGAGGAGTGAACAAGACCTTTCTTGTTGGCTCCAGTTAGAATTTAATTGGGCAGTTACTGACAGGAACTAGTGACACAAAAAACATTAATTCAATTTCGTATCAGAAACAGGAGCCCTCGGTCTTTCACATTTCAAAGAGTTTGATTTAAAAAAATGTTGAGATGTCAAATAAGTAAAGCCACTTCAGGCAAATTCTTATTTTTCACCTGGTGATGTCATCAATTCTTAACGGCTGCCGCATTATTCATGTAGCAATATATATCACAACTACTGTGATGAAGATATGAATAAAGCACAGGAGCTTTGGTCAAGCTTCACTGTTCTTCATGTGTTTTTAGTCCCATTTCTGATGTATGTATTCAGAAAGCACATTCCTGCTACTGAAAAGCAATGCAATGCAACTAGAGGATTTTTTTTCAAATTTAAAGGAATGCAGACACACTCACCAACATCAAAACATGCAATTAATGTTTTGATTTTTTTCAGGCCAAGAAATTCCATATTTAAAGTTGAGAGGATTGAAAAGAAAAAGACAAAGGTTTGTGAAATGTGGGAGGAGATGCAGCTGTTACTTGTTGGCTGTATGGATATGATCAGTGGTCGACATGCATTTAGAATATCAGTGGAAACAACACTCCAATCAAAGCACTCTCTCTAAACAAGAAATCAAAATCAAATTAGAACAGGAAACATTGAATCAAACAGAACTATTGCTGTTTTGACATGCTTTGAGTGTGATATTCTGCGCTGTGAAACACTCGCAGGACACAACGTTTCCTGCAGCTCTCAGAGGGAACACCTGCAGAGACAGCCCATCATGAGGCCATTTTGGCATGCATAAGCATGATTGATGACACAAGGATCGAGACAGCGCTTGAGAAATCCTCCCTGCCACGAGAAAATTGATGACTGCTTGGATTCTTTCCCCCCCCGCGTGATTGTACCCCAGACACCAAGACAGATCCACATTACTTTATAGAGCCGAATGCAGGCTCAAATATTGGCACTACCACCTTCAACGGAAAAACAATCCACTCCCAAAATCACTCCCAAACGTCCTATCACCTGCTATTTCACCACAAACATTTTAAAGATTGCTAAGTGAAATGGGAGAACATTAGCCCGCAATAATCCCTCTGAAAGGTGTGACCCCTCTGAGGACTCCCAGATCTATATCCCCATTCATGACTGACAAGGTCACAATAATTTCACAGTACATCACAGCTCCAGCACACCACGCTGGAGGGCTAAAAAAGTCGTTTGGCTATTTCCTCCGCAGGTCCACCCCATTTAGCCCCATTTTAATCCTCTCCATCCCATTACATGACGGGAGCAGACCTGTGCTCATCACACGCTTCGGCAGAGATCGTTTGCCTCGTTATGCATGCAGAAGATCACATAAAATATCAGCACCGTTATTTCTGTCCCACTTCCATCTCCTTACTGGCAGTAAACAGAGATGGACGTCAAACGATAGTGCAGAATATGACATGCGGAGAGCTTCCATTGAATCCAGCAGTCTGCTGTATGAGTCACTTTCCATATCTTGTCTCAGACGTTGGGTAATCCACTGGGTGGAAACTGAGACAGCGAGGGCAAGACTGACTGACTCTGACTGATCTTTAACAAGAGCAATGAAAGAGAGGATTTGGGAAGCACGATATAGTGAAACTGTCAAGAGAAAATTTTAAAAGTGAAGTAAACTCCGTCACGTGGGTGGCTGGCATTTCTATGTGTTCAAATACTCAAGATTCTTGGAGAAATGCAGAAAGTTCATTGCCAAGTAGCTGCTGAAAGCCTCTAAGCCTGATCTGGTCAGCAGGCGAAGGTATCCCCTCTGTCTTGTGGAATTGCCTGCTGAGCCTTTAGGCTTTGGATCGTAACAACATGTCTGTCAATAGCACGGTCTCGGGTGCTGTGATTGCACCTGACCTGGCAACCCTAACCAAACGCCACAGCAAAAACCTGCGGTTACAAGCTTTTTCATCTTTAGTTACATGCAAAAAGAACGTTTTGTAGCGGAGTTTGTACATATCCCTTTTTCTCAAATAAATTCTGAATGTCTCTATATCAGTCAATATTCTCCAGGGATCTGCCCATTTGAAAGGCAACAAGTTAACATATAAAACTACAACTCCGATATTTCTTTTGACGTAAACAAATAGCATCATGAGCATAGGCATCATTAGCACGGTGACATTAGTCAAGTGTGACAAGATTAAATTGAAATCCAAGAACAATGTGCCTTACATAGCAGGATATATGTAAAGTCATATTTCTAACTAATCACACCTCAGAAAAAGTCTCTAATTGAGTCAAGATCCCACACATCTCCAGAATTTGATGTTCAAAGCTATGCCTGTCAGATAATGATATTTCCCAGAATCAAATCACAAAGAATCATTATTTCACAAACATGTACTGTATGTTGAAACAGCAAAAGCCTCATTTGTAGAGGAGGAGCAGTAATATGAGTGTTGACATTTCTTCCGCGTCATGGGTGAGTTAATAGAGTGTGATGTCAGCTGTAAGGCTGACAGAAACACTAAGCTATACAGGAACTCTCAGAGCCAGTCTTCATTGAGTCCCCCTGAGGACCAACTAATCTACAAGTGCTGCAATATGAACTCCATTTTAATGTTGTCGCTTAAGCCGATCCCGCCTGCCACAAGGATGCTTCCCCACCTCTTAAATAGCTCCTAAACATATTACAGGCCACCTATTAGGTCTGCCGTAATTATTGCACAATCCTCTAATGGCAATAGTCTACTGTTAATTAGCCTCAATCATTTTGAACGACTTGTTCTTCTACCTTCAGTATTTCCACATAATTTCCAACTGTTACCTGTTTGACTCCTGTTTTTTCACTTAAGTCACCTTTAACCACACCATGTCGCCATGGCACTTGCATGGTGTTAGAACTGTTGACGGTTTGTCTACTTCTTCTGTTGGAAGAAGAAGAGATTCATTTCGTGCCATCATTAGGAAGCTGGTTGCAAAGCCAAGTAAAACAGCAACGTTGTAGAAAAATGTTTGTTCGGATGACAAACAAAAATGAGCAGACCAATAACTGGGAAGGTTTGATCTGTTGGATTTATGGACGATAAGTTGCAGTTTTAAAATAGTTCCCGCCACAATGCTCCACCTTCTAAAAATGTATGTAAAACACTTAATAAGAACTTATAGGGTGTGTTTGCATGATCTGTGTTTAGTAAACTTTCAGAAGATCCACAAAATCATATACATGCATCAACATTTTACTCAGAGGTTATCTCCACTGCTATGGCTTTAATTTTTCATTTGGTGAAAATGTATACAAGCTAAGCTAGGTTATAATAAGGTAGATTGTATACAAGCTACACCATATAGTGAGAGAGGCAACGACGTTTTGGGCTGCAGGGCTTCTCTCCGTCCCTGGTTGAAATTTGCTGAGTTGGTGGTAAATGTTGTCTCTCCTGAAGATATATCAGGCTCATTCAAAGACCAGATCAAAGGACACATATTCAGGATGACATTGCTATGAGATGAGAGAGATATAATTTCTCACTCATTTGGCGGATTAGCTGTGATGTCAGTCGTGGATCTGATGGATTTATTCAGTTAGTTATTTAGACCATTGCTGAACAGGTGTGTGTGTTATCAAATATGCTGCCTTATACACATGCCAGATTTCCTGCTTTATAGAAATAATCATTGGCGCTGAAGCATGAAAATTATTTCAACTCAGGCAGGATGAACCGAAAAACATTTTTTTTATGGATGCAGAAAAAAAATATTTATACGATTTATTTATGTCGCTGCACTAAAACAATTCACACTATGGGGATTTCATCATCACTTGAACTTCTTAAACTGAATGTTAAATGTTCTATATTCAGCAAGGCCTGTCCATGTGTATATGTATATATTTAAAAAAGCCTTGACATTAAAAAGTAATTAGGTTTCCGGTCTGGATATCCAATTAAAGACTAAAGTCAACATCATTAAACTATAGTTTGCATGCCTGTCAGGGTGCAAATGGCACTACCTTATTAGAACCTACAAGGTGAGATAAATGCTGAGCAGATGAGCTGAAACCATATCAAATGAGAGCCTGGTCAGCTGCACTTTAAATCTTCTCACCTCATTTTCACAGGACAGGATTTGACTGCAGAATTGACCCCCCAATTATATCCCCGTTTGGCTGTCACACTCGGAGACCTCTACTGGATGTGCGGGGAGATAACTTTTCGCATTTGAAAGAGCAGGCTATGCGCGGCGAGACGAAGACATAGTCGTCCCTGTATGAATATGCAAGCCCAAAAGCCATCATTCAGCGGCCATTGGTGTCAGATGTGTGAATTTCCAGACAAAATCAGGCCTGCCATCTTACTGGGACAAGCTGGGGGGGGTGCAGTTATCTATCACCATCAGTTAGGACTTGTTAAACTGTGCACAGGAGGAGGATATCCTTCATCTGGGTGTGCACCCTGTTCGACTCAGCTGCAACTTGGTGAGTGACAGGTGGTTGGGGTACTGTGCTCTAACTGCTGCTGACACTCACCTGCAGTGACAGGCTGCAGCATTAACCTCACCTTAAACCTGCTGAAATATGAAGATCTCCATTGCAAAATTAAGTGGCTTGAGGTTTTAACATGTTCTCCACACAAATAAACAACAAACGCTGAAGTCTTTTTTTCCCCCAAAAAAAGTCCTAACATAGGCTATTCCTACTTGGCTGTGTTGAGACTCGGCCCACCCTTACCTGGGATCTCCTGATGGGGAACATGTGAGAAGCTGAAGCCTTTCCCCACGCAAGCCTCCCTCACCTCGCTGCAGTTCCGAGCTTTCAGGTCTGCTCTCGCCGCAACTGACAGCACGGAAAAAGTGCAAATGATGGTCTCTAGTCTGAGCATTGTTCACTTCTGTAAAGATCCTTATTGTTGAAGGGTTCTCTGCAGTGCCCCGCTGGCGTGCAAAAGTCCCCTGCAGCAGCGGATCCGCAGGTAGTGAATGACGGGTCGTGCGAGGGCTGGAACTTAACTATTAATGTCTACCAACACATATCCCAAAGCAAAAAAAAAAAAAAAGCTTTATACCGCAACCTAGAATGGATGAATGTCCCCCGGTTGCCGCGATAAAAAAGGACTTGGAGTGTGGAGTTGCCACATGAATCCGGGCGGTGCGCTTTTCCCCAGGCGTGTGGACTCAACTTCTCTCAGCAGACGATGCCCCCTGGACGCCGGGCTGAAGTGGGAATGCTCCGAGAGTGGAAGCGCTCCGTGCTCAGATCAGATGCGCCGAGGAGGAGCCGCACACAAAATGTGGAGTGGAGTACAGGCTCATCCTGCTCAGCGCAAGCTGGAGGCAGAGAGTGATGTCCCTCCGAGAAAAAAAATGGAGATCCACTACAGCACATCTGATTAAAGAAGGTGCTCTAAAATCGACTTTTGAAATATATGTTTCCTTTTGGAATAGGTTTGGTGAAAAAGTATCTCCTCACCTGATACTTAGGGTAGGATATCGCTGACACAAGCACCCAAAGTGTTACAAGACATATATTTTAGTCTCGTGGGTATATTTCAGAGAACATAGATTATTGATGGAAGTAAATCTTTGTGGGGTTTTTTCGATAACAGTTTTGTACATTTATGGATTGTGAAATGCTCTGAACGAGCCACCCTCTGTGCGGCCAGTATTTCTGTTATTCAGAGGATGATTTCACTTAACTTAAAAAAAAATATATAAGATATGTATTCTCTTAAACCCTCTCAGCTGATTCGAAAGCACAGTTAATATATCTCAAACCGGATAACTCACAGATGTAAGGGATATGATGAAGACCAGATGGCGAGTTTTCATGGCTTTATTGATTTTGGACCAGCTTGATCCCGGGGTAGATCAACAGTGGATTAACATGGCTGTCATCGATGTGCAAAGAACTCCAATTGTTATGGGGTGCCACATTTTGAAAGCACTTTCAAGTGACATTGGCTTGTCTCAGAGGGGAACACTGTGCTGGGAGATTTATGATCAAACAGTCAAATCTGCAGGTTTAGGGGCAATAAAGATTTGGGTTTTCTTTGTGTGGTAGAAGTGCCTGCAGTCTTTTATTTAGGAGCTTTCTTTGAATTGTCTTCCTAAATGGAAATCCTTATTTGTATGTCTATCATATCCTGAGAGGTCAGGAAGGCATAAGTCTCCATCAAATAAAAGATTCTTTAGGGAGGAACTGAGATGTTCTTTGCAGAATGTGTGTGATCAGCTTAGTTGTACTGTCTGCAAACATTATTGTGAACATAGTGAAGTACTTGTTAATTTTTGTGATGGAATCCATAGAAATAGCTGTCAGTCTTTTGCCATATTCCTATGAGTTCTTTCGTACATTTTCCTTAAAAATTTATGATCTTAACATGTCACATTTAATTAATGTATCCGACTTTGAAACCACTGGGGTAGTTCATCCAAAGTGCTTTACAATAAAAATTGATTTCATGGGAAATTCCATTTTATTATAGGGTATTACTTTAATATGTTCATACTATGGAGTAAAATATATCCCAGAACATGCCTTCTCTAGCAGGTTGCTCCAAGTTTTTTTTCTTTTCTAATAATTTCCAGACTTAATGAAGTCACAGACTTGTTAGCACAGTAAATACAGCCATTTGGTAAGGGGCAGAGTGAATGAAAAATGCATATGAAATGGTTGTTGCTTCCAGTGACAAAATTGGCAGGTTTATGCACACTCACAGCTATACATTAAATCCCGTTTATCAGATACAATGGCAATATTGGGTCAGCCTAAATGTTGCGATGCCTCTGAAAGGGGGCAAGCAACTAGAGCACAAATAGCAGTTCCTTTGCAGCACGCAACTGTCTGAGCAGCACCTTTGAAAGAGCTGAAGCTTTTTTTAACCAGACTATATCATATCATGCAAAGCATCATGAGTGAACTCACCACAGAATCCCATGACTCTCAAGAGTTTGCCTTCTCATGCATAGCTTGAGATATTAAGCTTAGCTAGTGTAAGAATGAACAGCAGAATCAATATATCTTTGTGTCTCTCTCTATTTACTCCTGCATATGTATATATCAAGATTTAGAATTATTAAATGCCCAGTTTCAAACAGGCAATGCTAATATTTCCAGTTACTATTAATGGGTTGTTTGTGGTGAACTTGATGACTATTGATATCCAAGCACAACTGGTTTGCAATGCCTTTTAAAGTTGTTTGTCGATGAGAATTCAGAATAAGATTCCCTTATTTTTTATTACTATTTTAATGTGGAGTTATGCTTTAAACTAATGATTCACCGTACTCCCTAACCCGTACAGATATATAAGTTCTTACTTTTACTTGAAAATATAAGAGCCAGCATACATTTCCCTCAGTGGTTCATAGTATTTCTTCATCATAGTGTAGCTTTTATCACTTTTGCTTGGATTACTGTAGACATGCTGTGTTTTACATAATGAAGTGAAAGCCTGTGTGGCTGAATCATCTACAGTTATTGTGCAATAGGCAATTTGTGGTGTGAATAATCCATTTTCTGTCATATGGAATCCTTTATATTTACAGGCTTTTTTTCTGCTTGCATGATAGTATGCAAGCTAAAATCACACGGAGGGATGGCACAGCTCAGTTTTTGATGCTTCTATTTGTGCTGAATATGTAAATGCCGTTAAACAAACAGCAAAAAAGCCTGAATTTCTCACATTTATTTATCTTCCTAATTACTGCCTCAACTCCCTTTATTCATTTTCCAGGTGTGGCTGCACTTTCTATACGAGAGAAATAAATAATATTATAACAAGTAGTGAATATATCCTGTGTCTGTTTCCTAAATTTGTGTGCAGCAAAAACAATGTTTTGTTTTCTATTTCTGTCTTTTCTGCAAAAATTAGAAATAACTTTGCTGGAGAGGGAGGGAAAAAAGTGAATTGTCTTCAATGACCAGAAAGTTTTGAAAGGCTGAAAATACAGCCATATAATACTGTGCAATATAAGGGAGACATACAAAGAAAGTGCTACAAAGAAAAGTTTGAAAATGAATGAAAAAGGAAGGTATGCTTGCACAGAACCTGCACTGAATCATATGCTTACAGCTACAATATTCTGAGACCACAAGACATCCCGGCAAAACCCCACAGGAAGGTGCCTCATGGTCAGATTCAGTGTGAATGCAGTCTGGAGCAGAGACAAAACAATAACTTATAGTCACTTTTTCACACATAAGCAGAAACATTTGCCAAATCCTAGTGGGATTTCAAACAGTGGTGGAATCACAGACAGCCAAAAAAAAAAAAGAATTAAAAGAATTACTCCTGGGGACAAAATGCACTGTGGATGATAATATACTGTTGCCAAAGTTTATCTGCACTCACTTTGAATGCAAGATCAGACAGAGAAACAGTTGTTCCAAAATTCTGAAAGCACAATAACTGCTGGGAAAACTCAGCCAGTCACTGGAGTAACTTCATCAATCAATCAGAGACATTATTGTTAGCGATATGTATTTTCTGGATACAGCTTCTTGGCTGAGCCAGAACAAGCTAAATAAATCATGTTCAAGTTACGACAGTGTCCAGTTAGGATAAGGGTGGAGTGCAAAGGTATAAAAAAGTTTTATTTCCACATAGATACTTGGGGGGATTTATGCTCTTGAATGACAAACAGAATATTTTTCCTCAATCCATATGAAATCCTACCCATTCTCTCTTGGAATAAATGCAACAGAGAGAAGCAATCAATTAGTATCAGAACAATTAGTTCTACCTGGTCTGCATCTTAATGGATTTTTTGCTCATCACATACATATTAAAATCAGATTTTATTTTGGTTATGAAACTGGGCATCACCACTGCCAGGCTGGAGTCCATAGATCTGATTTTTTATGACCTGATGAAACTAAATGGGTGATGTAATCTGCAAAAAGCAGGCCGAGAGATCTTTGACACTAAGTCCACTGATAAATCACGTTGTACGGATTTGAAATGAAATATGTGTTAAGTACAGAACTTAATTTAAAGAATAAAAATCCAAATACCTCTCTATATTTGGAATGTGCTGCCACCACATCATAAATGTCATGTCATTAAATCTTCAATCCCTGTGAAGAAGCAGCCATATCCATGCAATCTCTTTGTTATCATTATTGGATGAGATCAGTTGAAATTTAATTACAGACCAATCTGGTATCACTTTGAACAAAAAATGTGTTTTGCTAAATGAAACTCATTCAGACAAGAAAGAGGATGTAATACATTTTTTTGGGGGAAAGGGGTTGGTTATTTGCATTGTTAGGGCATAGCACTAATAATTATTATTTAAAACTGTTTATGAAAAACACAATATAACAAGCTAATTCTTTATTATCAACAACTGAAATCAGATGAAGTCTCTTCATGACATAAACAAAATGTGGTTAAATCTAGAACTTAAGAGAAACATTTGATTTTCAAGTGGGGGCTGACTCACCAGTGGACCTTGAGGCGTTTTACACCTCTGGCCTCCTTTTCCACTATATGATCACCACATCAGCTTATAGCTCAGTGTCTTTGCCATACACAACAGAATGCCTGATTAAACAAACTACAAGGAATATGACAGACAAAAAGGCTGCAGTGGCATTGTAACACCTTAAGTTTAGATAGTTTTAACATGGTGTTTTTCTTCAATCAGGAAAAAGAGAAAGTACATGTGGAAATGTGCACACATGGTGGGGGTCAGTGTAAAGGGTTGGTTGTTTCTTTTTTCTTTTTCATTTCATTACATTTGAAAAACAGTTTGATGGCTGATTTGATATATTGAACCTTTAGTAAGTCCATTATAGATTTATGATGAGGAAACAATCCATCAAGGCAAA